GTGTCTCATTAAGGAAAAGATGTCATATCATTTTGCCATAGCACAGGAAGAAACAGGCAGGACAATGCTCAGAGAGGTGAGGGGACAAGGGCAGCACTCCTCACTAAGTCCCGTGAGTCCTGATGACACACGGATGTGTAGATCCAAGGAAGGATGACTCCATCTGAGCTGCCATTCTATCACTGGAACCAGGTAGCACGGGCTCCTCGTGACCCTGCACACAGACAGAAGCTCAGTGAGCCATGCACACCATCTGGACCACGTGTGGGCTGCCGGGCCTCTCACGAGCTGGGACATACCGTTCCTATAAGACACAGCAGTTTAGGGTGGAAACTGGCCAGAAGATAGAGATGCTGCCGTCCTACCCTGGTTCTATCACACAAAGGCACAGGCTAGGTAAAAGATTCTAAAACTTTGGTCCAGTGTGCAAGGCCCTGTGCTTGCCTCACTAATACAGCAGTGAGGTTCTTGGGCTGGAAGTGCAAATAATCCCAAAGAGTCTCTAGAGTGAAAAAGAGAGCTAGTCACTTGGGGATTTCCCCAGGGCTTTCTCTTTTTTCCATCATCTAAAATCAGGAGGTTTCACTTCTAGGGCATCTCTTCTCCAGCTCACAGGGAAACCACCTGAAGAGCTCCAAAGTGCTGGGCTCCATCCCAGACCTTGGAAGCCAGAATCTCTAAAGATAGAGTCAACACAGTCCTCTGGAGAAAGCTCCCAGGTGCCTCCGCGCGGGCTGGCAGAAGTCCCGCCCTGTAGGCAGCTGTCCTTTCTTCCCTCTGCCTGAAGGGCAGCAAACTATCACCTGCACTGCAGGCGGTGAGCCAGACACTTCTGAGCAGGAAAGCAGGTCCGGGGAGGGCTAGACAGCTGTCAGAGCCTCCAAGTACTGGGGAACCATTCAGAACCCATTTGCAAAAACATCCTGAGGCTAAAGGACAGCTACAGGCGACTAAAGCCTTGGCTGGGGATAGCTCAGTCCGTTAAGTTTTTGCTGCGTTTGATGATCTGAGTTTAATCCCTAGAACCCAAAAAAAGCCAAGCGTGGTGGCAGATGCCTGAAATGCCCAGTGCTAGGAAGTGAAGACAGGTGGATTCCTTGTGCAAAAGCTACCCGTTACGGGAATGGTCCCTCTTCCATGTTAACCAAGCTGTAGAAGATGGATCTGCCAGCGCATGTTGCTCTGGGTAACTGGACTGTGGATCCTCACAAAGCAGGCAGCTTGAGCAGGTAGCTTTGTGACCTTGAAGAACTCAGTCTCTCTGTGCCTTGGTTGGTCCATGCACAAAAGAGAATATTGATCATGCTTTGTAAAGCTGCAGGGAGACTAAGTGAGTTAATAAAGAGCTCCCAGGACAGCACTCAGTAAGCACTCAACACATATTCAAATGTATTCATAGGAAGGTTCTCGAGGCTAAATCAAGTGTGAAGCACTGAGGTAAATAAAGAACAACCAGTTTCTTCAAGACATCTTGAAATGACCAAAAGTATTCAAGGGTCACTGAAGTCATAGATATGTGTTCCATGCAGACAGTGAGTCAGGAATAAATGGCACCTCATGGTATTCTGACCTGCAAGACAGGTGTGATGGGGCATCACTCCTGAGCTGTCCACACTCTCCTCCTGAAGAGCCTGTGGCAGATGAGCACTCCAACAAGCATTCTGGAAGTCACCTTGGAGACAGCTACATCTTTCCCAACTCTCACCAAGGACTTGCTCCAGGGTGAAAGCTGGGGAGTCATGTTCTGTTCCTGAGAGTGACATACTAGGGGAAGAGAGATGCTAGGACCGGTAGAGACTGGTAGGACTTCCTCCCTTCATCCAAGGTTTCATGGCCATGCTGTCAGTCAGCTGGACTCTTGCCTTTCTGTTCCCTAGTTGGATGGCCTTTGGCAAGCACCCTGGCCTCTCTGAGTTTGGTTTCCTCACTTACATAACGATGGGGCATTGGCTCCATACATCAGAGGCTCCGAGTTCCCTCTTGGGACCAGCATCCTTCATGCACCTCCAGCAAGATGGAGAAGGGAATAGGAAGAGAAGTGAGAAAAGGGATAGCTGGCTCCAGACTTAGGAATGGTCTCCAAAGAGGCTGTATGCTGCTCACCCACATAAAGAAACAGGGTAAAGTCAATGGAAAGTGCAAGGAGTAAAGAGAGAGAAGGAATGTTTTCCCTGGCACACCTGAAGAGCCCATCAAGCCCTCTATCATATCTTTAAATGGTCATATCTTTAAAGAATCATGGCAATCACAGGCCATATCTTGCAAACAAAACATCAAGGCCAGGTATGGCGGCCCATACCTGCAATCCTAGCACTCCGGAGGCAGAGGTAGGAGGAGCACCACAAGTTTGAGGGCAGCCTGGACTACATAGTTCCAAACCACTGCACACTTGCCATGGCACAGCTCCCCGGGGCCTTGCTCCTTCTCTACCCACAGAAATGTGGTGCGTGCAGAAGACAAACACCGTGCCAGACACCTGGTCCACCATCTAACACCCTCAATCAGTCCGACTCTCCGCCTGGGGCTCACACTCTCCTCTAAGCTTAACTGCAATGTGTGCTTGCACCAAACTGACAGCAGAGGCACAATTTCTCCCCATTTAATTGATAAAGCCTCTAAGCAACCAGACAGAATGACCTACTTGAGAGTTCCCAGTCTTCGTTGCTGCTGAGCTTCCAGGCTATGAGCTCCACAGGAGTGGGCTAAGCCCTGGCCTAGTCCTTCCTCCTGTGACCATTGTTCATTTCCTGCCACCTAGTGTCCCTCTGATAAGTGCAAAAAGGGAGAGGTGTGTCATTTCATTGGCTGACGCATATCAAGCAAGCCAGTGAGGAAGTCATTTCCCTTCCAACCCCTATATTTTCCTGGCTCAAGGTTTTGTTACTTAGTTACTGAAGGAGCAGCTCAGGAAGGACACACATGCCGCAGATGGATGGCTGGGAGAATGTCAAAAGAGCAGGGTGCTGTCAAACAAGCAATGGAAGCTCTGGAGCTTGGGGGTGGGAAGCAGCAAAGCCAACAACAGCTATTTCAAAGAGTTTATGGTGGCATTCCTGGTGGGGGAGGGGAGAGAGGCACACATGAACTGAACAAAATCAATAATTGTTCTAGATGCCATTTTCTGCTGTCAAGGTCAAAGTGTTCAGCTCTTACTGGGCCAGCTGCAGAAGAGATAGGTGTGCCTGGGGTTCATCCACTGGGGCTCAGCCTGCAGGACCCGACTCTGGGAAGGCTGGGGAAAGACTTTGAAAGTGTATGAGGGGTGGATTTTGTTGTGTGTGCTCAGCAAGCTAAGAACATGCAGAAATGACCCCCAGGTTGTTTGGGAAAGGATTATGTAGCTGATAGGAGCAGGCTGCTTTTGCTGGTAGTGTTAATACGGAACCAAAAGTACAGTAACCAAAAACTGTGCACTGCCCCCTGGGGGTCACCTTGTATGAGGGAAAAGGAAATGTTGGGAACCAGGTTTCCTGGTTTGCACCAGCTACTTTCATAAACAATGCACAGAACTGGGAAGCAACAGTTGAAGAACTTTGACAAGGTCACACCAGATTGGGGGTTGGGGGTATTAGAACTCAGAATAGGCACTTCCTGGCTCTTCATTCTTCTCTGACCCTGGAAGCTGGCTGGGTCATTGGTTTTAAACTAGAGGTGGCAATATGCATTGTAACAGGGGTGGAGGAGGCCTTCTCCTGAGTGCATTCCATGCTCCCTTCTTCCCCCACAGCCACTCCCTTCAGGTTGAGGGTTGCTCTATTTGGGCCCTCAACCCTGCTCATAAAAACCGAAAGACAAGCTGACCCCTAGCACCACTAGGACCCCACAGCCTAGTGAGGGTGTGGTTCAATCTCTACCACACCCACAGGTCTAAGATAACCAACATTTCACACAGATGGTGCCAGTGGACGCCTGTGAGGGACACCCTGACTTCTAAGCAGTTCCAGGCTGCTTTTCCCCTGGCTCCCCTTCCCTGTCAAAACTCAACAGGGGCAGAGCCCATGCCTCCTTGAAACACACGCAGCTTCTGGATTTATGCTTTCCCTAGATGAACACAAAAGCAGATCACAAACAGGATGGCCACATCAGGGCACCTAAACCCACAGAGAAAGCTAACCAGAGTTTCCTTTCTGATTTCCCATGCTCTAGAGTTTGCGTGTGTGTGTGTGTGTGTGTGTGTGTGTGGTGAAAGGTGAGGGAAGGGAGGCTACAGGATTGATTATGACATATTAAACTATCGGAACGCCGACTGAATCATCAGTCAAAAATAAATAGCTGCAACTTGATGCGACACGTCTCCCACTTCTGGCTGGTCCCTCTTTGCTCCTACAGAGCGCCACAGCGCGTAGGAGGAGCGGTTGGGTTGGGTCAGGCCAGCAGGCACTGACTGACAGGCTAAATTAAAGCGAGGCGAGACTGTGTGGCCCTGGAGCCTCCCGTTGGAAGACATGTCGAGCCCCGCGGAGCTCCTGCTGGCTGTGGGAACTGAAGCCAGGTGCCGCACGCCCGCACACCTGCAGGCGCTTGCAGCAGAAGACACGCTGGCTGTTTTCACCCCTTTTCTCCCTGCCCTTCGCCAGGCTCTGCAACCCGTGCCCTGAGCCCGGGACTGGTCCGTGGTAGGCACGGCTTTGCAAACTTACGAACACGACCGAAAGGTCCCAGAGCTAGTCCAGGTCACCCCAGCCGCCGCACTAGCTGCCTGGATTTTGTTGGGTAAAACCGAACGAGTCTCTGAAATCGGAAAGCCGTGTGCGCGTCCTCACCCGGAGGAGCCTTGGGGACACTGACATCGCTTCACCCTCCCACCAGCATCCAGGTCTACTGCCCCTCCTCCCTGGGCGCCCTCGGCCACCCGCAGGTTTCTTCTCTCTGCTCACCGGGTCCTAGAGGTCCCGGCGGGCGGAGCGAAGCTGCTGTGACGTCACGGGAGGGGGGCGTGGGGAAATGTGCCCAGGGGCTGCCACCCGCCCGGGCCAGTGCTAGCGGCGCAGCCACCGGCGCGCTCGCGAGGCCACCCGCGCCCGGAGCACCAGTCCGCGGCCGGGCGTCGATGATCTGCAGGCCAGGCCACCTCTTTCGGGGCCCAGGCCACCGCTCTCAGACGCCAGAGGGACAAGTACGAGCCAGCCAAGGAAGCTGAGAGCCCAGGAGGCCACCGCCGAGCGCCAGGCACCCGCCAAGCTGCTGCGCTCCCGGGTACCCGGCTGGGTAAAGGACAGCTTCTGGGTGCGGGGGAACACAGAGAAACCGAGTCCTCGTGGAAAAACAAGGTGAGGGATGTGTGTGGTCGCCCGTGTGTGTGCATATGCGTGTGTCACCGAGAGATGGAGGGAGCGACGAGCGCACTTGGGCACCTGCAGGCGTCTGCGCTGGGGATAGAGCGCGGATTCCAGCGATCTGCCTGTTGGTCCCGGAGCGCAATTCTCTGCTTTTGTGCCTTTGGAGGTGACAGGGGAAAATGAAAGATGCGTAGCCTGGCGTCTGGGGTGAAAACGTAGCAGTGTGTTTCGGGACGGATTTGTCCGCAAAGCCAATGCCCAGGTACGGTGGCGTGTGCCCTGCGAGCCTGAGTGTCCAGGTGGTAGCTTCGATGGGGACAACTTATTTCCTAGTCACTTGAGAAACAGCCCTGGTCCAAGGAAAGCGAGACCAGCTGGAGGAGAAGAGACATGCCAGGTGCCACCACAGAGCTCCTGAGTCCACACCCTGAGACCTAAGTTCGGGAGGGACAGGTGATGGGGACATCACCGAAAGAGAAGGAAAGCAGATTCTTCCGGGTTTTTTTTTTTTTTTTCATGGCCCGATGGAGAGGAGCCCCCCCCCACCCCCCTACACCCCGCCACCCTCGGGCAGAGACAGATGTCTAGATCGGAGAGAACCAACCACTAAATAGTCAGGTCCCCAGCGCTCCTAGCTGTCCCTGGCACCTCAGTTTCCTCTGTGTTTAGAAGCTGGACCTGCAGGCGCCGCAGACTACTCTCCCTTCGTCTTCCTGGAAACGGTGGGAATCCTTTAGGGAACCCTTTGTTTGCAGGGTCGGAGAGTTAACGACCCCGAATATTTGCCCCACACTGACTCTGCCTCCTGCCCCAGCGCAGAGGGGCACTCGAGCGACATGGTGGACCACACAGGGCTGCTGTCTATGCTGGTGCCGGCTGAGGTTCCAGCCCCAGATTCTCGGGGCGAAGTGGAGGTGGAGGCGCCTGGCAGACTTGGGGCGGGGAGGGAGTCTTGGGCTCACAACACAAGCCGTTAGAACTAAAGCTGAGTTTGCTCTCATCCGTCCCACCTCTCATTTCCCGGGCTTACCCATAAGAGAGGGGATTCCTGAGACGTGGAAATCCTTCTCTCCATCAGAGTCAGGACTCTCTCAGGGGAAACCGCCCACCAAGCCACGGCCAGTATTTAACAGCTCTGACACTGGAAAAACAGAGCAGGGAAACAGATTTCCTGGTGCATTTAATTTAACCACAATTCAACAAGTATCGACCCGTGGCATTTGAAATTCACTTTCAGTGAGACAATCCTAAAAGAAAAAGAAGTCACTTGGAGATCTTAGGCACCTGATTTGTTATATAGGACTCCTAGGTTTTCAGCTCATGCTTTCTTTGGATGAGTCTCCGCTTTTCCATGGGGTTCTCAGCCTATGACTTCCACCCACTTTCCAAGGCTCTGAACCCTTGTATGGCTTACCTCACCCAAAGTGTGTGTGTGGGGGGGGGGGGTGTCTCAGCCAGGTCCAGAGAAAAGTGAACCCTTCTCCCCCATTCATTCTGGTTCTGCACAAAGGGCACAGTTTGGGCTGAAGAACCACATTGGGTCCTATACCTATACCACTGCTGTCTTCCTCCTCCACCTCTCATTCCCCTGGCCTCTGCTTCCTGGCTCTAGACAGGGATTCTTTCTACAGCCCAGGGGGTCTTCAGTCTCAGTCAGACAGTAAGGTGCCCTCCCATGGCATATAGATGGCACAAGCTAACGGTTACTATAAAATCCCACTGTAGGCAGCTTGAATAGGATTCTGGGTCTATAGAATTCAGTAACTGACGAGAAGATTGAGAAGGAAAAGAATATAATAAATAAAAAGGCAGAGGAAGTAAGCCAGGTTAATCTGGGGATACTAAAAACAGTTTCTCTACAGCTTCTGTTTGTAATGGCTGTCTCTTGTGCTTGCTTACCCAATGTAGACACAACGCCATGGGTCCCTAAGATACAAGTGCAAAAATCCCAGGCCTCACTGTACTGAGCATGTGCTGGGGAAATTAATGCAGAAAGAAAAGCCAGGCACCTGTCAGTAGGGAATGAATTGGAGGCAGAGGTGGGCAAGGAGCGCCTGCCTGTTGCTGGCTCTATCTTTAATTTCTCTGCAGTCTCTACCTGCATTGGGCATTCACTTGGAAAAGTACTCTGCTTAAGGGAAATGCGTCAGGCAAGTGAGCCAGTGATGTGGGACACTCCAGCCCTCACCAGCTCTTCTCTTCCTGGATGGACCACCTACCCTGAGCTCTTGCCTCACTCTTCATATGCACAAGACCCAGCCCCCCCCAATTCCTAAGAATCCCCTAGGGTTCATAGCCATATCTCCATACAATTCATACACTATGTGCTGCCTCCCGTGCCTGTCTCCCCAATAAAGTATTAGCTGCTAGAGAGCCCCAGCCTTTTACACTCCCCCCCAAATGTTTTATAACTGGTAAATCACTTAATTATAGGTTGATCTGGTTCTTTACATCTTAGGCCAAGCCAGCAGCACTCTCATTATTTTTCTCAGCATGGAAGTCACTCAAGAGTCAGTTGCTTCAAACGAAAGCCACTGGTTTCCATCCACTAAAGATCAGCTGGCACATGCTGAAAAATCACAAAAAACTTGGGGCCAGGTGGCTCATGTTCAAGCGAGCACTCACCAAGAACCCTCTAAGCCTTAGTTTCCACATTGTTAAGCAAGGGAGGACAGTATCCTCCCCTCCCGGGATGGTTAGGGTAAAAGAGGGGACAATGGGTGTGAATGACGACTGTGCACCAGGGTTTAAAAGCATCTTTTGACATTCATGAAGGGCCTGCATCCCTCGCCTAACTTCTGTTTTTTCCATAAATCAGAGAACTGCATGCAAAAGGCCACCCACGAGGAACCTTTAGGAAAAGGTTTCCCTAAGCATGGGTATAGTGGGGATGGAGGGCATTGAGTATCGGAAAAACAAAACCAAGAATGAAGGAAGGAAGGAAGGAAGGAAGGAAGGAAGGAAGGAAGGAAGGAAGGAAGGAAGGAAGGAAAGAAAAAGAAAGAAAGAAAACCTAAAGCATACATTTGAAAAATGAAAGAAAGCCAGACACTTTTCCTATTGAAGACTATAACTTGATTCACTGTGTAGGCAGATTTCAATAAATTAGAGATAATGAGAAGAGATGGGGGGTAACATTTATGAGGTTCCAATAATGAGCATGCACAATGCTAAGCATTTGTACATACTTTCTCTTGTTTAACCTTCATGACACCCCCGTGTTGACAAAGGAAAGTCACGGCAGTTAAGGGCTGGGCATGGGGTCATGTGGGGCTAAGCCATGGAGCCAAAGTTTGTCCTTTCTTTAAATTCTTGACTTTTCCCACCATGGGTATCTCAAGCCAGCTCAGAGTTCTTCATGGGGCCCCTGAATGCTGGTGTCAGACCCCTCCAGGGTCAGGAGCTGAAACTCTCCAAGATCTGCCTTTTTACAATCTGGACCAGTCAATTCCTTAGGGGTCAAAGTCTACATGTTTGAAGCCGTACCCATCCGCCACACATGCGTCATCAAGGATGATGGTTTAACTCAAACCCTTCCCCCTGCCATCTAAAAAAGACCTCAAAGAGTCAGCAGGTTGACAGGCAGGCTGGCAGGTAGATGAAAACAAAAAAGAAAGAAAGAAGGAAAACATGCTTTTCAGTTGAAAAATGCATCTGAGAGAAGCAAGGTGTGGCAGCTCACAAGCACAAGAGGCTGAGGCATGGGGATTGCTGTGTGTGCCAAGCCTGGCTACATCATGAATTCCAGGCTAGCCTGTCTCCAAAAAAAGGAAGTGAGGAAACGGTGAATGGGGGTGGGGGAAAGTATGGAGGGAGACTGGGAGATGGCTCAGTCAATAAAGCGCTTGACTTGTAAGCAAGAGGACCCGAGTTCCACCCTCAGGACCCATATAAAAACTTCTGGGCATGGTGACACATTTCCATGATCACAGCAGGTGGAGACGCAGGCACAGGTGGATCCCTGCAGCTCCCTGAACAGCTACACCAGGCCACATGGTGAGAAATCCTCCCTCAAAAGGGGGTAGGGAGGTCATCATACCTTCCTACAGCACCTGGGACTAGTCTCTGGCCTACACACACACACACACACACACACACACACAGCAGCAGCACACACATGAACACATGGAAATAAGAGAAAGAGAGGGTGGGAGGAAAATGTCTAAATAAGAAGATAAACCAGAAACATGGAATGCAGAAGGAGTCTAAATAGCCTGGGACTGGTGATTACTTTTTCTTTTTCTTTTTTTCTTCCCAGATGTCACAATAGATTCTTGGCCCCTAGAGCCCACTGAGGTGAGAGGAAAATCTCTGGGCTGCTTGGTTCTATACTAAGTGAAAAGCAGTCATGGAGATGACAGCTGAGCAGTCCAATGGGAGCCAAATATGGATGCCCTCTCCATTTGACATCAATGGCTCAGTGGGGCCAAGCAATGGCTCCAACCAGACAGAGCCGTACTATGACATGACAAGCAATGCGGTGCTCACCTTCATCTACTTCGTGGTGTGCGTTGTTGGGCTGTGCGGCAACACGCTTGTCATTTACGTTATCCTTCGCTACGCCAAGATGAAAACCATCACCAACATCTACATCCTCAACCTGGCCATTGCAGATGAACTCTTTATGCTGGGGCTGCCCTTCTTGGCCATGCAGGTGGCGCTGGTCCACTGGCCTTTCGGCAAGGCCATCTGCCGGGTAGTTATGACGGTGGATGGCATCAATCAGTTCACCAGTATCTTCTGCCTGACGGTCATGAGCATCGACCGTTACCTGGCTGTGGTTCACCCCATTAAGTCAGCCAAGTGGAGGCGACCCCGGACAGCCAAGATGATCAATGTGGCCGTGTGGGGCTTGTCTCTGCTAGTCATTTTGCCCATCATGATATACGCTGGCCTCCGGAGCAACCAGTGGGGGAGAAGCAGCTGTACCATCAACTGGCCAGGTGAATCTGGGGCGTGGTATACAGGGTTCATTATCTATGCCTTCATCCTGGGGTTCCTGGTACCCCTCACCATTATTTGTCTTTGCTACCTGTTTATCATCATCAAGGTGAAGTCCTCTGGAATCCGAGTGGGGTCCTCCAAGAGGAAAAAGTCAGAGAAAAAGGTCACCCGAATGGTGTCCATAGTGGTGGCTGTCTTCATCTTCTGCTGGCTCCCTTTCTACATCTTCAACGTCTCTTCCGTGTCTGTGGCCATCAGTCCCACCCCAGCCCTGAAAGGCATGTTTGACTTTGTGGTGATCCTTACCTATGCCAACAGCTGCGCCAACCCCATCCTGTATGCCTTCTTATCTGACAACTTCAAGAAGAGCTTCCAGAATGTTCTCTGCTTGGTCAAGGTGAGTGGTACAGATGATGGGGAACGGAGCGACAGTAAGCAGGACAAATCCCGGCTGAATGAGACCACGGAGACCCAGAGGACCCTCCTCAATGGAGACCTCCAAACCAGTATCTGAACTACCCAGAAATGCACGAGCCACGCCCCGCCTCCTGGCAGTGCGTTTCCCTCTCACCTGCTTCCTGCCTCCCCCGCCCATCACACATGGCTTCTAGGACACAAGAGCAGGATTTGAGTCTGCTTGTCCGAGAGTACATCCCTCTAATCACTTCTCCCCTAAAGTGAACATTTTCGTGCAGGCGGACAGTTCAAAGTCTGGAGAAGAGGACATCACTGCCTGGGCGTGACCTTGTGGAAAGCATCTCCCCAGTGGAAACCTGAAAAACCCAACCTAAGCCAAATCCCTAAGTGTATGTGTGCTTATGCGCTGTGTAATCTTGTGATCTGATATTTCACGTTTGTATATTTACGTATATATTTCCACGTAGTCTCTGCGGAGCCAGTACATACACGTCCTGTGTTTGTAAACCCAAGTAGCTAGTTCATGCGTGTCTAGTATAGATGGACATTTACCACAACACTGAACCTGAAGAAGTGGACTCACCACAACAAATACAATCACGTGTAAGCTTCCGGCATTTCTCTTGCATGGGCCTTTCCCGGACCCAGGGAGGAGCATGAGCGGTATGTTCATATAATAATACGTTTTGTTTAAAAAAAAGAAAGGTGAACGTAAGGTACTTTTGTATTCTTTTCCCAGAGGGCCCCTAAGCTGTATATGCATCTAGCCTCATAGCTGCTGCCTTTGTGCCAAGGTTAGTTGTTCCTTCAATTTCAAACAAGTCAGATCAAAGTAAGAAGAGAGAGGGAGAACAGACTTTGAGAGCCAGAAAATAAACTCAGAGTTTGCCTCTCAGATCCAATCAGTTACTCATTTACCCAAAAGGACTTAAGGGGCTGTGGCCATCCATCATTGTGTTTATCGAGGCAAAGCCTGCTTTGATATCAGATTGTATTTTTCTCTCCTCCAATTGCTTTGGTTTTACTTAGGGAGCCATTGGGGAAGTGGGGCTCGGTAACCTGAAAGACAAAAACAGACTATGATTCCCCACCAACACACAAACACACACACCCAAACACGTCCACACACAGATAAATAAATGATAGCGAGAAGAAGAAAAATGAAATAGAATTATAGCTTTAAGGGAAACCATGAGATTGGTTTGTTTTTAATGCCAGATAAGACTTCTTAAAGAAAGAAAGAAAACAGACCTGTAACTCTACAATTCCTCGAAGGTGTTTTTGGGTTTTCTTGTTCTTGTTCTTGGCTTGCTGGTTCTCTGGGGGGCCTGCTGTTGTTACGTCTTCCTGTCTATGTAGAGGTGGTGTATAGGGATGTATTTATGCCTGTGTCTGCGTGTGCACGAGTGTGTGCATGTGCATGTGCGGATGTATGTTTAGGTTAGACGTTGATAGTGCTCTCTCCCTCCATCGAGGTAGGGTCTCTTGCTGAGAGCGAAGCTTCCCAGTCAGGTGAGCCAGCTTGCCTAAAAGATTCCCACCCACCCACCCCTTGAGCCCTGGCCCTACACGCGGGCTGCCATGCTCACACGACATTTACATGAGCCCTGGGGTTCCAGTTCAGACCCTCACGCTTGGGCAGCAAGCGTGTTCCCCAAATCAGCCATCTCCCCGGCCCTCAGAGGTGTTTTCTGTATTTATTGTTAGTGGGGAGGGTCATGCTTGTCGTGACATGTGTGCAGATATCAGTGAACAATTTTTCGGAGCTGGTTCTTGCCTTCCACCTTTTCTGTGGGCCATGTGGGCCAAGTTCAAGTCACTCAGCTTGCCCAGCAAGCCTCTTCACCTGTGAAGCCATTCCCTCAAAGATGGTTTCTAAAGAATTGTATACGAAGCTGGGCATTAGGAAAATCACAGTGCTGAAGACCTGGGAGCAGTGCGTATGAAATGTTAAATTCAGGCCAGCTAACGGTGTATGCAGGCGTGTGCAGGGCAAAAGCTGGGAGCCGCACACTTCACAGAGAGGGCTGTGTCATCTCCTTCATCAGCTGCACATGGACAAAGTGTCAAACATTTAATGCTATGCTTAAATATGCTAATTAAGCTAGTCCTCACACCAGCAGTTACACACACACACATATACATACACACACACACATTGCTTCAGGCTATACATGGGTTTGTGCACAAATGACAAGAAAAGGCTTAGGCCTCATCCCCTTGGTTGATCACAGCTTTAGGATATGAAAAAAATACGAGTGCAGGTGTGTGGATGCTCCTGCCCACTCTAGGTTCTACGCGTCACTCTTAGCATCCCCTGTGTAGACTTCAACCGTATTTTAAAATGTATTTTCCTCTTCTGGCTCCCTAAGCAAAGACTGTTTTTGGTCAGAATGGCCAACTGCTCCACCTGTGGCTATCTTACCTTAGTGGGCTGTGTTAATTCTCAGACTATGTCACTCATTGTACCTGGCTCCCTAAAACTACTTACTATGGCTTAGAATTCAGTGGGATTTATGATAGGCAAATAAATCCACCCAAAAATAAAAGCACAATCATAAAACAAGACTACAGATGGGGGAGGGCAGCCTTGCCAGGCCACAGAGGAAGACAATGCAGCCAGTCTTGATGAGACCTGATAGCCTAGGGTCTGATAGAAGGAGAGGAGGACCTCCCCTATCAGCGGACTAGAGGGGGGCATAGGAGGAAAAGAGGGAGGGAGGATAGGACTGGGAAGAGATGAGGGAGGGGGCTGCAGCGGGGATACAAAGTGAATAAATTGTAATAAATAAAAAAGACTACAAGGACAGATGCATACAGAAAAATCCCAGACTATTACCAAAGGCAAAGTTAGCTACAAGTTCAGCTTTGGGCTGGCTTTTTGGCAGCCATGACAGTGAGTCACTGCTTCCTTTTCCCCTTAATACAAACAAGAACAAATTGGAAAGAAACTTTATAGATTCACCTTTACCATTACCACAATTGGAAATACTCATCTTTAAATAAATGCCCCCCCCTTTTTTTTTCATCTTAGAGAAATGGCTCTACGAAATCCAAAACTGAGTGACTCTATAGTGTTCATGTCCCTGAAGCCAGAGAAACTGCCTCCAACAAGGCTTTGATCTTAAGCAGCCAACAATAACCTCAAGATGCAAGGTCTAGGCAATGTCTGGGGGTTCTGGGCAACAGGACAGTCATTTGAAGGCAGAAAGAAGCGGAATTTAACATCCATGGTACAGGGCTGGGAGGTGGATCAGTAAGTAAGGTGCTTGCCTTTTAAGTTTGAGGACAGGAGTTCAATCCCCAAAACCCACAAGAAAAGTCAAGTGCAATGCTGTGTGCTTGCAATTCCAGCAATGGCGAGATGGGGAGGTGGGAATGAACATCTGGAAGCTCATTAGCCAACTAGCCTGGCCTACATGGCGGAGGTCCAGGCCAACCAATGAGACCCTGCCTCAAACAAAAAGTACATGTGCATAGCACTGACACTCAAGGCTGTCCTCTGGCACACACACACACACACACACACACACACCACACAATATACACACAATATTAATGCTTAACTAATTCCATCCAGATAAGCAGTCAGGTTTCATGATATGGAAATTTATGTATCACCTGTTACACCTATATTTATAATTTAAGTACAAGTTTTAAATATTTTATTATATATATATATATATATATATATATGAGTGTTTTGCTTGCACGTATGCCTGTGTACCGTGTGCATGCCTGGTGCCAGTGGGAGCCAGAAGAGGGCATTAGATTCCCTGGGACTAGAGTTACAGATGGTGGTAACCACGTGGGTACTAGGAGTCAAACCTGGGTCCTCCATAAGAATAGCCAGTGTTCGTCACCACTGAGCCGTCTCTCCAGGCCCCAAAGCATCAGTTTCAAAGACGAGTTGTTCTCTGGATTTCTTTTATCTAAAAGATGGGAACAAACCTGGTAAAGTAAATGTTAACCCAACTTTAGTTCAAAAAGTCAGTCAGCTTCAACTCGACATCATGAAAACAGATCCGACGGATGCTGAGAGAAGGGTATAATAAAAGGTAAGACACTGGGGCTGGAAAGATGGCTCAGAGCACTTGCTACTCTTACAAAATACCCAAGTTTGGTTCCTAGGACTCACCTTGGACAGCTCAAAATCACCTGGGACTCCAGCTCCCTGGATCAGACACCCTCTTCTGGCTTCTGTGGACTTGCACTTACGTGCACACAAACACACAGACACGAACATGGTTAAAAGTAAAATAAATCCTTTTTTTTTTTTAATGAATGCCTCAGATTGTCTTTGTGATCCCTGATGGTCAGATGGTTTTGCAAACTACTCCCTGCCTACCATCAGCAGGGGTTGCTAAGGGCTGATGAAACCTATGCAGACTTAGCCAAAGACCCATTGGGTTACACTACAGCACTGGGGTACTGGGTGATGTTGGCTGAGCAATCACAGCCGTGGAGTTGAAATCTGTGTGAAGTTTGTGCCTTAGCAAAGAACACACTCCAGCGATGTGACAGCGACAGTGGAGGTGGGATGGCAGGCAGCAGGGACTCTGTGGACCAGCAGACGGGGCCTGTTGGCATACACTGATCTGACCTCTCCATGGCATGCCGTGAGCTCTGCTTCTGGCTCCAGCTTCCCTACATGGGAGTCCAGCGCTGGCGAGGTGTGCAGTAGGAACACCGGGTGGGTAGAAAGGGAATGGCAGTGAGATCCATACCCCCTCCCAAGCAGCTCCAAAGGGGACTGTGCAATGAAGGAAAGTCGGAACTGGTGACAGTCAAGCTTCTCCTCATTGCTGAAGAAATATGGCAGAGGATCCATATGGCAGTTGGAGTGTGCAGTTGGGAAATCTGATTACGGCTTCTGAAGTGTACTAAGCCTCGCAGAAATAGTAAGAGCTGACAGGCCCAGTGCTTGAGCTTATAAGTAATCACTTAGAATCAATCACTTGTCTCATCCACATTTTTGCCAGCTCCAAAGTAACAAATTCCCTGGCAAATGGTCTATCAAAGCAAATCTTTACTTAAGAGTTTGTTTTCCCTCTGTGCGCAAATTCCTGGGAACAATCCTATTGGCAGAGGCCTCATCATTTTTGTTTTTGTTTTCCTAGGGAAACAAAACTCATGTAGGGAAGAAATTCTACTTAAGGGGGACAATCTTTTGTAGCTGGCATTAACTATTCGACTCAGCAACCAATGGGCTGAGAATACTGTCTCAAAGACAAAGACTCCCCCACAGCCATTCCAACGCTGCCTGCCCCTCCTGCACTCAGAGGGCTTGAATGCTAGCAGGTGATCTACTCACTCTCCCAGACATGTCTCCGGCTGTTCATGTCTGGACTACACCTGAAAACAGGGCTAAACATTAACCTAGCCACTGTAAAGTGTTATTGATTCTCCTAAGGAAGAAGTGAGTGTAATGTCATTAAAATGAAATGCTAGGCTTGGCTCCCTGGTCCAATGAGCACCTGCCTCCTGTTGGACTGAGACAGAAGCAGGAGGGAGCTGAAGGCACAGGCACAGCTTCCAATGTACTGACACATGGATGGGGGCAAGCTTCATTTTGCATCTCTCTCCTTGGCACAGGTGGGGAGGGAGAGGACCAGACTTCTTTGCTGGGATACTGGTATCTAGTGGGGAGAGATGCTCACTTCCATTCCTGCTCCCACCAGAACCAGAAGCAGAAAAGGAATGTCCTGGCCTACAAGGGGCTGGAGAGATGGCTCAGAGGTCAAGAGCATTTGCTGCTCTTCCGGAAGACCTGGGTTCCAAGCATGGTGGCTCAAACAATCTGTAACTCTAGTTCCAGAGGACCTGATATCCTCTTCTGGCCTCTGTGAGCACCAGGCACACATGTGGTGCCCAGACATACATGAAAGTGAAACACCTAAGCACATAGGAAAGATAGTGAATAAATAAATAATAAATAGTGAATAAATATGGTCAGAGAGAGAGAGGCAGCTTACACTCAAAAGAATCAGAACTGCCATGCCATGGTCTGGTCCAACCCTGTTACTCAGTGCCACTGTTTTTGTTACCAGGGGCCCCAGCTGCCTAAGCAATGGAGAATACCCTTTGGCAGTAGAAGCCACTGAAGAAAGCACCATGGAGGTCTACGGAGAGCCCAGCCCAGGGGCAGGTCTACCAAAGAAGACCTTGCTAGCCCTGTACCCAGCTCTTTCACAAAGAAGATGCTGAAAAGGGCCAGGGCAGGGGCCCCAAAGGGCAACTGCTAGTGTCACAGGCGCAAAATCCACAATTAGCTGGTTGAGGCAGCTGGCCATCACACCACGGACAGCAGGGGACCAGCCATGCCAACCCTGATCAGTGACTGGGGTTGATACCCTGTTCTGAGGTAAAAGAATTAAGCTCATTGTTAAGAGAGCTGACATTTTTCTCAAAGCATAAATTTTCACATTGATAGTCCATCCAAACAGTCCTCATACACCATGATCGATGCTTAGCTGTCTCAGGGGACAGTCTCCCAGGATCACCAGTTCCCCCTCCCTCTCTGTTCTTACTCCT